CTTGTCCATTTTTGACAGTGCATTCAGCATCACAGCCCTCCTTGGCAACTCTTTTGTGCCCTGGCTGGGGGATTTTCAGGCTCCTTGTGCACTGAAATGAGGAAATGCCTAAAAGCAAGAGAGTATTGAACTGGTGAACAGTTCTTTTAATTATTTTTAAGAGTTATCTGCTAATGGACTGGATTACATAAAGAGTGACTGTGGGCTCTGGACCACTTTGAACACTTCAGTTGAGGTTCTGGCCTTACCTTTAATGTGGATTGTTTTCCTGCAGCTCTGTGGCAGAACCAAGTGAATGAATGGGGTCTCTTATTCCTTTACAGCTCAGGCTTTCCTTATCCAATCCCTGCTTTGCTGCTGATTCATTCCCATGGAATAGCAGTTTTCCCTGGCACTTCCCAGGGAATTTGCACAGGAGAACAATGAAGGACTTCCCACTGATTTGGATCCCAATCCTGGAATGCTCTTTGCCACTGTATTCCACTGATGGTACAAGGCCCATCATAGCTCACCTATTAACATGAATATTTCAGCAGAGCAGAGGAGTGAAAATCTTCCAAACCAGCATCCATTAAAGGTTTTCTCACCTCTAAGTGTCTTTCAGCCCGAGCTGTTTGCAGCAGAAGGGCAGATTTCCACACTGTGCTGTTGAACTGCTCTGCACATTCTCGTGCTCAGCACTGGTTATTGATGATTCCCCACCCTGAGCTGTTCTGGGGCCAGCAATAGGAACAGGCCCTGGAAAATCCAGGCAGCATAGGAAATTGCACTTCCACCAGCTTCCTAAAGCTCACTTTTATAATTTACTGCTGTTAATGGGATGTATTTTTAAAGCAGCTCAATTCCCACTGACGTTCACGTGAGTCGGGCAGAGCAAACCCCCGGCAACACTTCCCAAATCCTGCCCCCAGTACGTGCTGCAGATGGAATCCTGACCTGTCTTCAGAGACAAAAGCACTGAAAGCACTAAGATTTGGGAATCAGCCCTCACTTTTATCTCCAGAAGCTGTTGGTGAGGAACGCTCAGCCCGTGTCGGGAACGGAGCTCCCCTCTCTCCAGTAACAAACACCGTGCCCCTTTGTTTCAGATGCCAACGTGGACGTCATCTACATCTGCCCCCTGGCCCTGAGTGAGGAGTTGCTGCACTATTACAGCAGACTGCTGGGGCTGCAGGCAGCTGTCAGGTCTGGGAACCCCCAGGCCAGGGCTGACCTGCGGGCCAGGTTCAGGATTCTCACCCCTGAAGCCATCGACAGCTTCCCCGTGAGTTTGGCTCCTAATTACCACAGCTCGGGGGATGCAGTAAAATTAAATTGGAAATTTTAGGACTTGCAACGCTCTGGTACACATCAGTGAAATATTATTGCGAGTTTAAGGGCTTTACTGATTAGACTACTAGTTAGAGCCTTGCAAATAAATATCCTGGTTTAGCTTTATGGACTTGGTTGAGATAGTCCTATATTGGCTATTTGTGGGCTGCTGTCCCTCCTGACTGTGGGCTTGGGCCTGGGAACTTGATAGATTTATATCTCTAAGCAAATCGTAGCAATAAACCATTCTTATTACTCCAACTTTATCTCTGGGTAGCCCAGCACTCAGTCATTGCTGTGTTTGCACTGTTTCTTGCAATTAAATCTTCTTAAAGAACAGAACTTCAAACGAGGTAGGTGATAATACAGAAATATTGGTTTGGAACAGAACAGAACAATACAGGAATATTAGTTCCAATAATACAGAAATAATGGTTCCAGAATAATAAGTAATAATACAGAAATATTAGTTCCAAACCTGTCAATTCAGGTTTAAATCCATGTGCTGAAACATGATCTAAAAAGAGACCTTTAATTACTGGACACTCTGTACAATGTTTCTAAGAATGCTGCAGTGCAGTGAAGACTTTTTACAGTGTATAGTTTTATATTGTAAATGTTAAATCTGCAGTGTCTTAGCTGGGATTTGACTTCTGTGAAATTTTGTGGCACGTTTAGGGTCTTTGCTTGGAGCCCTGCTGCTGTTTTCAGTGGTTTTTTTCTCTTTTTAAATTGCATTTTAACAATTGTAGCTGTTTTTCTGTGGATACAGAGTTACTCTCCAGTATTAACTATGAAATATTAGTGTATTAGTGGAATATTCTCTCAGGGAAGATGGGCCAGGCCAGGTTTTAGGGGCAGAAGAATCTATTCTCAGAACTGCCCCTTGGTCTCACTACCAGCTTTGGCTGTGCCAGGGTTTGAGCTTTATCACTTCTTTTTAAGGATCTTTCCTCTGGGTTATTTAATTAAAAAGCTTTTCTTGCACTTAATGCATCTAAATTTATATTTAATAAATGCAAGTGTGGCTTGCAGGCCACCTTAGCAGGCTCTTTTTAGGAGCACAAATCACTCTTGTGTGGTTTTCCAGCAGTTTTGGTGAGACTGCTTGGAAGGAAAAGCTGTGGATTCCTTTTGTCCACTTCCAGGGGTTCCTCCATTTCATTTTCCAGCATCGTCCCCATCCAAGTGATGGAATCAAGGTTTATATTTCACTCCCTGTAAAGGAATGTCCAGGGCTTGGAAGGAAAATATTCTGGGTTCTCCAGTCCTGGAAATCCCAAGAAAATCCAGGATTTACAGTATCCTGAAAAGGAATAACCTCCTGACTGAGGCCTAAATTGGATGAAATCTCAGTGGGAAGATGATTTGCTTCTTGTTAGGATTGTGATTTGTTTATGACAGTCCATACAAGTGGATTTCTCTTGCATCATTTTTCCATCCCTCTGTGTCTCTGTCTCAGTGCACCTCTATATTTTTGGGAAGATAATTGGGATATCTGCAGATAGAAAACACTTCTGAGGCTTCACCTGCCATGACCAATGTCCAGTTTAAATTCAGGGGTTATAGGATATGCCATGAGCAGCTCGTTCAGCAACAGATCTTCTTCTTTTTTAGAAGAAATGAAAAATTCCTTCCAAAAAGTTGGAACCCTTGTACTTCAAACAACCACAGAACTACTCCCCTCTCCTGGAGTCCTCTGCAGTTGTTTAGGGTTAGTTGTTGTGGAATGGAAATGCATATCCCCAGTAATTTAACGTGAGCACTGAAAGCTTTGGTAAATCAAAGTGTTTTATTCTCAGAGAATCATTTAAAATACCACTGAACTGTATGTGAAATACATTCCCTGCTATTGAAAAGGGGTGTGTGGGGGGGAATGTTCTTAATTTTATATTGATTTTTAGGAGCTTTAGAGTTAAACCATGCCAGGAGTGTTGCTGAGATGGATCACTATTATCCAAAGGCCACCAGCCTCTCTGCCGACTGACAGAAGGAGAATTCCACCCGGATCAAATAAATACAGATGTGGAGTAATTAGTTCTATTCCCAACGAGGCCATTTCCAGCACACTAAAGATGTGCACGATTATGGAGCCTCACCCCACCAGCTTTTATCAATTTAAACTGCTCGGCTACAGGATGGGTCATAACCCAGCCTGCCGTTAATAACGGATTTATTGTGGGCAGCTGGAGCCACGAGGAGAAACCCCTTTGACGAGGACTGTGCTCTTTCCCCAGCAGCACCACACGTGCCTGGCCACTCAGCTCAAGCACAGTCCCAGGACGGTGCAGATGATCCAGGGGCTCATCCGGAGCAGGGATGCCTACGTGGTGGGGGGCGTTCCCCACGCCGATGAGCTGGCGGTGGCCGACATGCTCGACGTGCCCCTGCTGGGCCCGGGGCCGCAGCTGGCTCAGCTCTACAGCACCAAGTCTGGCACTAAGAGGATTTTTGCCAGTGCTGGTGTGCCAACCCCTCCTGGAGAATGGGACCTCCACAGCAGGGAGCAGGTGAGCAGGGTGTGCCCTGGGGTGCTGATCAGACCTCGATGGGTCTGATCAGATCTCGTGTGAGGTTGGGTTCTTTTGTGCCTCTGACTGACCAATGAAATGCGATCTGCGCCCTAGTCAGGAAGGAGCGCAGTTCCTCTGGGATTCTTTGTGGTGTCTGGAGAATATATTTGTGTTTGGTCCAGTTATCTCAGAGGTTTGTGCTGCTTCAATCCATGGATGAAGTTATGGCCTCAAGGAATTATTTTTACCAGAGACTGGAGGTAGAACAAGGATTTCTGAGAAAATGAAGGGAAAAGATCTTCCACTTCCGCACCCAGCTGTTCAAATTGAGGTTCACTGAGCACCTTTGCAGCTGAGCATCTTTGTACCCAACCTGTCATTGCTGAATTCATTGACCTTGTTGGCACGACCAGCAAGAAAAGAACAAAAAGATCCCTAAACTAAAGTTACAAGGCACAAGATTTTTCTGTGCTGTGTTTCCATATTTATTTTGCAGGCAGTGCCTCAGTATTTTATTCTTGAAGCTGATGTTGCAATTTGCAATGATATGTCTAAGTATGGATGTTTTAAAAAAACACTTTCATGGTGTTGCTACATCTCCTACAGGAAAATAATCATTGCTTCTTCAAGAGGCTTTTCACATTGCTTTGCTTTTTATTAATCACCTTTAACACTGAACAATCTAAGCTACACAAGCACATTGCAACTTCCATAGCAGATGGAATAAATACATGACCAATAACCTGAAAAACAGCTGCTTGATTTATTTGATTCACGTAAATTATTTAACAGGACTTTTGGTTCTTCCTGCAGGGTTGTGGAAGTTTTGCTTCTGTTGTTGCCTTGTATGAAATATTGACATTTTAGGTTAAATAATCAAAGCAAGGTGACACTATGGTAAAGCACAATTCAATTTTCACTTAAAGATAGCTCATAATTCTTTGTGATTGGTACAGTCTTTACAGTATTATTGATCCTTTTCATTACTGTAGGGGAGCCATCAAGAAAAGCACATTTATGTGGCTCTCCAAAGCCACAAATGGAACACATGTAATTGCATTTTAGGTCAATCTTAAAAATCTAAATCTGAAAAAGAAGGAAGCAAAAGCCCCCCAAATTACGAAGTAAAACGTAGAAGGCTGTAGCCAATGCACCAAGATCTGCTCACACTTGTCCCAGGTTCAAAGCCATTTGCAGTTTCTGAGAAGCTAATTGCATCCTGCACCAGCTGGGCAAAAGGCATTTGAAAGCCATTTAAATCTGGGTACATACACAAATAAATAATTAGCATTTTTATAAAGCCTGCCTGGTAACTCCTTCCTACATTTATAACCTTGTAATGCACTCTCCAGCAGGAGAATTTCCCAGCTGTTTCGGCTGGTGGGAAACTCGGGCGCAGTTTTTTTGTCTCCATTTTGCAAATGGTGTCGTCCATCCCCTGTCACAGGCATTTACTGAGCACTTCTGATGATCCAAAACCTCGGATCCTCAGCAGACAAAGGAGCTTTGGGCAGGCAAACCCCTCCCTGCACGACACAGACACTCAACTGCTGCGTGAGGGCCGTGGAGTCTTCACCAAAAACCACCCCAGGTGGTTTGCCCTGCACACCCAAACAGCTGTAACAACACAGGCAGCCCTGAGTAAATGAAACCCTATTTAGCAACTGCAAAATCAACTTTTGAGTCCGGATCTTTGAGAAGTGGGAGCCTGAGGGAGGATTTGATGTTGCCACTTGTGCTGTTGTTGCTCCCCAGGTGATTGGTGCCCTCAGCCGGCTCGTGGTGGACAACGTGGAGGTGCAGCGCTGGGTGCTGAAGATGAATGATGAATGTGGAGGAAATGGCACTGCCTACTGTGATGTGATTTCCCACTTGGAATGCTCCCACTGGCTCCAGAAGGAATGGCAGAGCCACGGCCCTGAGAGGTGGAGTAAGAGCCAGGCACGTGTAAGTAAAGGAGCATCTCTGTCGTTGTGTCAATGGCCCACTGAGGTTCCTCCTCACTTCAATCTCTTCTCTGGGCCTTCATTTTGAGGTAAATGTTGGTTGTTACAATCCAGACTGGCTTGTACAAAGCAATAGGTAACACTTAAATATTCCAAAATATAAATGAACGACAGGCACCCAACTGTGGGACACCTGGTGTGTCAGAACTCTTCATTCCTGGGCAAAAATGTGCACATTGTACACAGTTTTTATCCCAAGTGAGGACACAGACATGAAAACTGTAGATTTATAACCTCAGTCCTACAAACATATCTCTAGCAAATGCTATCAAAAGACAAGATGATGCACTAGGATAGTTTACCATCCATTTTCATCAGAGAAACATAGAAAGTTGGAATTATGCCTCTCTGGTAACTTTTAAAGCTGTCAGTAACTTTCAGCAGTGTGAGACAGAACCCTTGAGGTCTGGAGAGATCATTAAACTCCTGCAAGTTTTGTGGGTGGTTAGGTAAGGGGAGAGATCTGTAAATATTTAACTGAGGGAAACATTACAGCATGAACTCAGGCACTTGTGGATTCCTCAGAATCCACAGGACTGAGAGGCTGGAAGATGATACATTTCAACCTCAGAAAAATCCATATGAAACCAGCCTTCATTAGTTCTGGCATTCAGAGAACTATTTGTAGCTTAAATATTCATTGGTATTTAAATGTGTTAATTTCAATAAGCATTTGATATTTCTGTATATCTTGCCAAATTCATTCCTAATGTAATGGTTTTAAAGCCAGAAGGAATGTATCCAGAAAAATTGTTTAATTTACATAAACTACTCATTATAGCTCTTCTGATTTTTTTAATTCAATCAAAACTGTTTTGAAATTTGGGGTTGATTGAATTATATTGTGCATTAAAATTTCAAATTGTGCTGATTACAGTTCTGCTGCGTTTGACAACTACAAAGTAATTCCACATTATAAAACAGAGTTTATGACAGAAAGCTGAAGGGCTAATTCCTCTGATCTGCTGAAGATCCCTCACTCCCTGCAAGTCAGGCAGGGTAAAGCAGAGCCCTGGAGAGCCATCCCAGTGGGAGCATTGCCTGGGATAGAAAGCTCGTGGTGTATCCAGGTCCTGCTGGATAGGACAGAAGAGAGGACTCACCAGGTCTAGTTCTCTGCTGGTGTAAATTCCCAATGTAAGTGCCATTCCCTGTGTTGGTATTCCTGCTGCTCTGCCTTTTTAAGTCTTTTCTGGCTGAGTGACTCTGCAGAAAGGACTCAGTGATCCCAACCTGTCTTTGGTTTCCTTTATACTTCAGTCTCCTTAAGCTTTGATGCAACCAGGAATCAACCCATTAATCAACCCCTTAAACATAAACCCACATTGGAAGATGGGAATTATATATGGAATAATACATTTCATCTCCTGGAGCCAACAGGAAAGCTTCCAGAAATCCAACCCAGTATCAGAGTGGACTTGGGCAAAGTCTTTCCCAGAGAAGCTGTGGCTGCCCCAGCCCTGGAAGTGTCCAGGGCCAGGCTGGATGAACTGGGAGCAACCTGTGCCAGTGGAAGGTGTTCCTGCCCAGGCAGGGGGTGGGATGAGATGAGCTTTAAGGTCCAACCCAACCCATTCCATGATTCTCTGACTCTAAAGTGCTGCTATTTTGAGCATCTTGAGTGTGTGTGTTCCCATTTTTCTGCCTCCCTGGTTTACCCTCTTCTGTAGCTCAGGAGACCTTTGTGCCAGAACGAATTGCATCTCCCCCAGAGCCTCACCACTGAGAGCAGAGGATTAAAATCCTCCTTTGTTAAGGAACACCACAGTAATGATACACATCTCAACATCAAAGCAGCACTTTGTGAGCACAGGAATGCTTTAATGTCCTGTTGCAGTGGGGAGACCTGTTCCTTTTGATAATGAAGACGTGGTGTCGGCTGCCACACACAGAATGTGCGCTGGCAGGTTATTAAAAAATTCAGCTTCTTGATGAAAGACTGTCCTGCAGGCAAGGAGTACAGTGAAAAGCCTCTCCATTCTGGGAGAATTATTAGAAATGAGAATATGACTGTGAGCACTAAATTATGTTAATACTTACAAATGGCGTCATTTGCATAGCAGTTTCAGACACGATACCCAGATTTTCCTCAGTGGCATGTAGCAGGCAACAGATTAAAAATAATGGACTCTGTGAGTTTGAACTGTGCAAAAATCTATTCCAGCTGAAAATGAAGCTGATTTTAGATTCCTCATTTCAAATAGAACATTGGGCAAAGCCAAGTGCAGGGGCAGGATTATGGATGGATTTCACCTTGTTAACTTAATGCAGCCTCTGAGTTATCTGAACAATTAATTTGCAACTGCATAAAGGGTTGAATTCATAAACTACATGAATGTCTCTGCAAGTCCATCAGCTTACTGTGCACTGCTCCAGTCTGTCAGCACATTAAAAAATGCATCCTGAGGCCCAGAATCCAAGGATATTCGGTATCCAGGGAACTGCTGCCTCCACCAGAGCACGTTTGGCAATTGTGAGGTTGGTTGTGGAGATTTTTTCCAGTGTGGAAAAGAATATCAGGATCTGGCCCTGAGTTCTGTACAAAGAGATCAGTAGGTACTGAGGCTCCTGAGGAGTTTAGTTGTATCCTGTCCTGTGAATGAAAATAGTGAGGAGCAAATCAATTCATTTTTTTACATAAGCACATAAAGTGTTCTTTTGCCATCCTAGAATGATTTTCCAACCTCTCTTCTGTACCAGCTCAAGCTTCACTTAGGCCATGTGTAGCAGCAAAGGTGGTTTTGCTCCTGTAAGAGTAAGTGAATAATATTTTTGGAATATCTAGACAAAGCCATCCATGGGAATTATTAATATCTGCTATTCCAGAGGGTGTAAGGAGCTGGGCATTTTGCTCTTGGTGAGAGTCAGCACTTCAGTTTTGGGGAAATCTCACCTAAACTTGTATGGGCCCTTGGTGGGAGATTATAGAGTCGTGGGAAATGATGAATTGTTGTTGCTGACAGTCTCTGGCTTACAGGGATTCTGAGCTGCCAGTTGTTGAGGCTGGGGGAGTATCTGAGGATTGGATAGGATTGCTCTGGTTTTGGGCTTTCTGGTTATTCTGGATGTTGGGACTCAAACTGTCTCCTCAGACTCCCAGATTCCTGTTCCCTAGTGAGGAATGATTACAGGAAAGACAAGATCACTTCCCTGTTAATGTTGCCTTTTTTCTTCTTTTAAAAATTCCCCTTTTTCATCAAATAATACAGGACTGTGCAGCATTCCATCCTCTTGTATAAATATAGAACTCTAAATAGTAAATCCTTGGATAAATCACTACTGGAATTAATCTTAGAGTTATCTTCTATTACACTGTGACTTCATTAACCACCAGGACCAGCAACGTGATGTGAGTTTATCTGCAGCGAGTCTAAAGATAACAAAGATCATGCTGGAGACAAAAAATACAAAGATTAAGAAGAGCTGAAAATCCAAGACACAGAAAAGCAAGCAACAAATACTCTCTCAATAAGCCATTATAATTGGCCATAGCTCCACAACCCCTTCAAAACTCTGCATTAAGTGTCTGTTATAGAAATAAAAAAGTGATTTAATGTCCTTGGGCAGCCCCTGTTAGAAATGTGAGTGTTTGAATCTCACTCCTCCACTTGAGCCACAGGATTTTGCCTCTGTTTCTTCTTCTTATAAGTTGGTTAATTTACTAAAATGAAGAAATCAAAATCTTTCAAAAATGCAGAAACTCCAACTTTTAGTCTGAGCAAATACTTGGATGCTGTTTGCAGGATTTTGCATTGATTTTTATTGGAAAACAGTAATGCAAAATGCTGAATGTCCCTTTAAAGAAAACATTTTTGCTCAGCTCTTAAAAGTCCCCTAAGAAATAACAGAGAAACTTCAGAATTACTTGGAAACCAGGAATAGTGGGGAGCAGATGATTTCCTGACTGAATGAATTCCATGCATCCAAGAAACCTGAAGCTTCCATCCCACATCCCGTTCCTTTACTGAGTTAAGGAATTCTGAGTGTTTGTTTGCCAGCAGGTGATTCTCAAATCTCTGACGTAAAACAGGTGAGAGGAATAGATAAAATCAGGTGATTCTCAGATCTCTGAGGTAAAATTGGTGATTAAAATAAATGCAATCAGGTGATTAAAATAAATAGAATCAGGTGATTCTCAAATCTGAAATAAAATAGGTGATTGGAATAGAGAGGATCAGGTGATTCTCAAATGTCTGAGGTAAAACTGGGGATTAGAATACATAGAATCAGGTGACTCTCAAATCTCTGAGGTAAAATTGGTGATTGGAATAGAGAGAATCAGGTGATTCTCAAATCTTTGAGGAAAGATGGGTGAGTGGAATAAATAAAATCGGGTGATTATCAAATCTCTGAGATAAAATTGGTGATTAAAATAAACAGAATCAGGTGAATTCTCAAATGTCTGAGGTAAGATAGGTGAGTGGAATTGATAAAATCAGGTGATTCTCAAATGTCTGAGGTAAGATAGGTGAGTGGAATTGATAAAATCAGGTGATTTTCAAATGTTTGAGGTAAAATTGGTGATTGGAATAGAGAGAATCAGGTGAATCTCAAATCTTTGAGGAAAGATAGGTGAATGGAATAGACAAAATCAGGTGATTCTCCAATCTCTGAGGTAGGATAGGTGAGTGGAATCGATAAAATCAGGTGATTCTCAAATGTCTGAGGTAGGATAGGTGAGTGGAATCGATAAAATCGGGTGAATCTCCAATCTCTGAGGTAGGATAGGTGAGTGGAATCGATCAAATCGGGTGAATCTCCAATCTCTGAGGTAGGATAGGTGAGTGGAATCGATCAAACTCAGGCGATTCTCAAACCTGAGGTTCAAGCGAGCCCCGATCGCGCTCCCGACCCGCACCCCTGGGCTCTGCAGCAGTTGGGCTGTGTCCTATTGATTTAATCTGCTCCTAATCAGTACATAAAGCTATGGGCCTGCAGTGT